AATTTGAGGTGTTAATTCCACAGCTTTAATTTTTTTATGCAAAATCCTTAATGAGCTATTGTCTGATCTATATTCCCAAATTTCCAGAAGGATGCCTCACAATAATTTAAAGTGTCATATTTGCAAGGCTGGCTCTTTAATGCCTCATATGCTCTCTATTTTGAGGTATTTATCAGTTTGACTACAATCATCTGTATTCAGGCAATGGCATTGATGAATACAGAAGATTTCTTTCCTAATTCTTTGCAGGGTGGAGGTAAAGTAGGTTTACAGTTTTGAGTACACAAAACACAGAGTTTATTCTTACGTTATTATTTATTGATTATTATATTATTTTTCATAGAAACTACTGTATACCTACATTTGCCCTATCTGAATAGAAATAACTACATACTGCAGAATATATATGTATAATATAATAAATATAATATAATATAGTGTATATTCTATTAAGCACTTACAGAAATGAAATATCATAAACATAGTTTTTCATATTTGCCCATCTGCTCCCAAAACACAACTACAGTGTAAACTCACTGATATCTTAAATTTCTGACATTCTAGATGTCATCTCAAAAGCTAACAGTCTGTATTTTTCCTACTCTCAGTTTCCTCCTTGGAAACGTTTAGGCATTTTTTTCTATTGAGAGGTACCCTGCCTTCTTTTGTGTTTTACATTCCAATGACATTGCCCGTAAATTTGCATGTAAGAGTCTTGAACATAGATTGGGTCAACCAATAAGCTGCAGACACCCTAACTTAGCTGCTCCCATACTCCTTCAGAGAGCTGTCTGAATTCAATGGACATCAGTAGCCCAAGCCAATGCTTTGGTCATAATATGTATATGTCTTTATTTATTTTCTCCTTACCCAATTTATTTGACTTTCCCATTCTAAGGTTTCCCTCTAATACTTGGAAATAATCCTTGCTGCTAGTTCTAGTAAACAACATTGAGGACAAACCTGCTCAGTGAATTAAATCATAACGGTAGAACTAATAGTTCCACACAGGGTAATAATCAAAGATGTTTTTCAATAGAATGAATGTTTAAGTGAAAAGCATAGTATTCAATAAATTCTGTTTGAAAATGTAATCGAATGGCAATATAGTGGATCCATGAGCTGGTAAAATAATTCTTGGCATAATAGCAATTATAAATTTTTTTAAGTTTCTCTTAAGTTCAAATGTAATGATTTTTTCAAGATTTTATATTTAAGTCAAGTAAATTAAATAGTTGAATTTTTCCAAAAATTTCTGCTGCTTCTCCCTACATACACACAGACAAACCATTATTCTTAATCATTATTCTTTTTATCTTACAAAAAAAATGTGGCAGTGTGTTAGGATATCAATTAGTTACACACTAAGAGCTTACAACTAAAGGCCAGGAAAGGCCAGGTAAAGTAAATGACAATCTGTTAAGAATAATTTACGTGACATTAAGGAAAAACGTTTTCCAAAGTAATCATGAAGACAAGGAACACTTTCAGAACTTTGCAAAATTCAGTTTTGCTCTGGTTAGACTATAGTTCAGCAATTGAATGTAAAGTTCCAATTAGAGTGATCTGAAATGATTCTGCTATTAAGGACACCATACCTAACAACTTGAAAACAGAATTTTAAAGGAATAAAGCACGTCACTGGATGACAAGGTATAAAGAATAATGCCAACACACATCACTTGGGTAATTAGTATACTGTGTCTCTTCTAAGGCAGTGATTTACTTAACTTTTTTTCATTTTGTGTCCTTAGCTGAGCCACACAGTATTTTTTTAAAAATATAGCAACAGAAATAAAAGAATTCATGCAAGAATGTGGTATCAATTTATCAGATCTAAAGAGGTATGAGTTGACTGGTTCGCTGGCCTTAGTAAAGACAAGATCTCTATCATTTTTTCCTAATATAAAATTCATGGTGTCTCTTTGGATTCACTGTATTTAAGCTGGAGAGATTAGATAGATGACAGATAAAGAGATACATAGATAACAAGTAGGTCAAATGAAGCATACACACAATACAGAAATCAAGAATGAGGGCAATTCAATTCAGAACTGAAGGGTAAAATGAGAGTTTGACAGAGTAGTTTGCACGTTCAAAGCTTAGGACACCATCTTTTCACCTGATAATTCACTTTGATTTCCATGCACTGTCTTAACAGTGCAATTCTGGAACTCAATTGTGTTTAAATTTGTTGTTGAAGATACTACAAGACTTCTTTAAAATACATATAAAGTAGAAATTGCTCTTTAGAGAATTGACATGTTGTTTAGAATTTGTATATACACATAAAACTGCTTGACCGATACAAGAGTAATTGAAATTGTGCTACTAAAACTGGAATTATAAAGGTGATACTATTCAGGTGATGTAGTGACAAATAATCTTATCAGTATGGTTCTCTACACATTCCATATTGAATGATGATTAATTTATTAGTAAATCAACTTTGTAAATATTTATTTGAATTAAACTAGAGTTATTCAATATTATTTCAAGAGTAATTAAGTACAAATCCTGGATTTTGCACTGAGTGGCATAAGCTGTATTCAAAAATCAAATTGGTAACTGAATATATTTGTGACATAGAACCATAGGTAATAAACTACCTAGAGTATGTGCTTATTCTTTCATTCATTCTTGCTCTATCTCTCTCTAACATACACACAAACACACACGCTCACTCATACCTCCTTTATGCTTCAAGAGCATTTCCATTCAATACACATTAATCTATCCATAATGTTGTTTTCAGGGTTCAGGACATCAATCATGCAGTAAGCTCCTTCAGGAACTTAAGTTAATGGTTAGATTTCACACCAAAATTTACTTAATAGAAAATAGAGTTTAAAAAGTTCCTTACCATGTTTTGTTTTGTATTTTAATGTGCTCTTATTTATATGACTATTGAGTATTTAAAAGTGTTTTTTCATAAAAGGAACCCATGAAAATATTCTTAAATTGTTATGTAGATTCAATAAAAAGAAGTGGGTTGATCAGAAATCTATGTTTATTTGGAACCTATTTTTTAAAAAGTCAACCTCCACCTCAAGGATGATGTAACATTTTCAGGGTTATACACACAAATACAAACATACACACATGCATGCATGCATGCACATATTGGAGTTGAGATGTATTTTTCCTTAGAAGTTTTATTCTTGTAGGAAAAGGACTAATAATCTGCATTTCTTCATATTTTTGAAAATTTATCACTTCTATAATGATCCTAAAGAATTTCTTGTCCATATATTCATTTTGGATATAGATTAATTTTACTCAATTAATATATACTATTATCACAGTCTAGTTTTCACAAATGTAATTGTGAATTACATTTTTTACAAGTTAGATAAAATAATTTTTACCACAAAACTAAACCATTATGTTGAGTTTCTATTATGGGTCTGCAATAAGAAAATGAATCTAATGTTTTAAAATTAGTTTTATAAACTTGTTAAATATGGAAATTATATCTCTGAATATAATTAATCAATATATATGTAATGTATCACTAAATATTTTCTACATAATATAGCTTATAAATAGAAGAGACTACAATCTGAAAAATGATATTTATCTTTCCCAAGTTATCCAGGTAATAGACAACAGGGTGAAGATAAAAAGAATGAAAACATTCTGAAAGACCTCAAGGGAGACATTCCAGAGGCCAGGTTACTTGGGATAGTATCAGGGGGCATATGTGAATATGCTTTTGCATAAAACACTGTGTCAGTCCTCAGGTTGCTCATGGTCTAATGTGGTTGGGATTTAAAATATGAGTGGATGAGTGGCTTATAAATAGCTTATAAATGGAATATTTTATAAAAATAATTTCTACATTTTTACCAAATTCATATTAAATGTAGAGATATATTAGAGAATATGTTTATTTTATAACAAACATAATATTAAAGCTATTGTCAGCAAAATAAATAATATGTTTAAAGTATTATAAAACTGATATCTTTGACTCTGCTCTCTATAACTTCAGTATATGGTAAGTCCTCACGTACTGTCATCCATAGGTTCTGCAACTTTAAGCAAAATAATGTATAACAATTTTACCACAGGCTAATTAACATAAAGCAGAGTTAATTTCCCAAGGCATCACAGTATTATGATGTCATTGCAAGAAATGATGTTATTCGAGGATCAACTACTACATTGGAAATTTATTCAGCTCTTACTGCCACAATATTTTTTCTATCTCCTTTTTATCAATTGGCTTTGCCACTTTGTCAATTCAGACCCCTATAAGGTCTCACCCACCCCATTCTTTCTATTGTGCAACATATGTTTCTCCTCATTATCAGATTCACTATAAAGCAGAGCTTTAAACATTCTAGAAATATGAATTAGAACTTTTCAAAATCTTCAATTATTCTATATTATTTTCTAATTGAGCAATATCAGTGTAGCATCTAAAGTATTAAAAAAATGGTTTCAAAATATCTCTAACACAGTGATGCTTCCTTACCCATGGACCATCATCAGTAAAAGTACATATACCTATCATGCAAAGAGTTGCATATAATTTTATGTACAAGTTTTAGAAAACTACACATGTTCTCCACCCTCACATCCTGCCACTCAGCCACTTGTATTTTAAATCCCAACCACATTAGACCATGAGCAACCTGAGGACTGACACAGTGTTTTATGCAAAAGCATATTCACATATGCCCCCTGATACTATCCCAAGTAACTTGGCCTCTGGAATGTCTCCCTTGAGGTCTTTCAGAATGTTTTCATTCTTTTTATCTTCACCCTGTTACCTATTACCTGGATAACTTGTGAAAGATAAATATCATTTTTCAGATTGTAGTCTCTTCTATTTTTCCTAAAGTAAATTATTTTATTCTGCTGGGAAGTAACTTTTTACTAAAGAATTTTACCTTGATGAGCACAGGTTTCAGCTGTATTTAAATGTAATGCTCATATGGTTCAAGTCAAATCAAAAGGGTATTCTAAGGTGTCTTTTTATTTATATTTTTCAGGTTTCTTGAGCACAGGGGATCAGGCTGCAAAAGGAAACTATGGACTCCTTGATCTCATACAGGCTTTAAGATGGACTAGTGAGAACATTGGATTCTTTGGTGGTGACCCCTTAAGAATCACTGTTTTTGGATCTGGCGCTGGGGGTTCATGTGTCAATCTTCTGACTTTATCCCATTATTCTGAAGGTAACCGTTGGAGCAATTCAACCAAAGGTATTATGCAGGTTGCAAATTTTGACAATTTTGGTGTCTGCATGCCACCACGTCAGTAGTATGTGATGCTCTGTATATATATATATATATATATTTCTCTGTTCAAACTGAATGTCAGGTTGAACTCAATAACTGTCTAAAATTTTGTTTTCTCAGCTTTTATATGCATGTTCAGATTTTTGTCAAACTCTTTGTCTCCTGTGGAGCTTGGTAAGGATGCCCTTTCAAGCACACTTCATAATAGTTAGCATCACATTTACTTTTCTTTCCTCCAAAGGGTGGTTTTGGGGAAAATCAAACATGTTCACAGTTCTGTCGTCTCTGTGTGTTCAGTAATCAAAATCAAAGACAAGGTGTGCTTTTTTTTTTTTAATTCAAAGATTGTGTATAATCTACTTTCAAGACAATAGACATTTAAAACCCTTTGCCAGTAAGGAGAACACAGTTATAAACTAGTGTTCTAGGAATAATATTTTTCATTTGCTTTCTGAGTAGAAAATGGATGTTTAATTATTTTGCATGCATGATCCAAAATTGTCAAAGCATGAAGATCACTAGAAGAGCTTTTGATTTAAAAAAATAGGTTAAAATTTGTGCTTTTTCAACCTCAAAAGCGTTCCTGCCCACCCCACAGTCTCCAAGCTTGGCAAAGTGGCATGAAGCACCGATGAGGCTTAACCCCATGAAACATTTTTCTTGTCTCCATTTTTTGGCTTTGGCACCCTTTTTAAGTGCCCGTCCAAAGCTCACTATGTTGCTTTTTTTATTGACTCCCATCTTAGCATGACTTTAGTCATTCATTCAACTTAAATTATTAATGTATATCCACAAGAACAGAAGTGTTTAATTGGAGACATTTGCAAAAGCAAATACTTTCTCTCCATGCCACATACATAAGAGATAGAAAAATAGAAAATAGACGTCAACATAGGCCCTTATATTTTATACTTTTTTGTCACTTTTTATATATTAAGAAAGTATATACTGTCAAATGTTGATGAAACAATTTATAAGACTGAATTTTATAAGTAAAAAATACAGAATATTTGTTTATGGAATCAAAGATACATAAAAGTGGAATTTCAAAAGATGAGCCAGTAATGAAATAGGTATATTTACTTGGAAAATCATTTGTCACTATAACCGTCTACATTTTGCCATGTATTATGGGTACTTTTTTGCCCAAATCTTTGAGGGAAAAATAAGGATGTGCACTATATATGGTTAGTACTAATGCTGTACCTATATAAGTGTTTTTAATTCTTTTTTTATGCTTATACATTAAAAGTGTAACTCTAGAAAGCAATAACAGTATCTATACAAAATAATACTCAGGAATACAATAATTGGTTTTGTTTCTAAACATAAATAAATAAAAATTTGAATTAAAAAACTAAAACAAAAGATTTTTTTCCTGAAAGTTTGGGCCAAAAACGTAGGTGCGCATTATGCACAGGAGCATATTACACATGACAAAATATGCTAATTTGTAGACATAGTTGCTGTAACATCTCATACGTATTAGAGTCCTGACTCAAGTTGGCAAAAAGCACATATAAGGACAATTTCCAACTGTGTAAAGATTTTGGTCTGTAATGAAAATTTATTTGGAAATAACGAACAATTTTTTTTTAATGGAACAGATTACATTGTCCTAGCTTTAGGACTATAGGGGGTAAGCCAACATTTATCAAGGTTAACATTTGACAATCTGTTCAGACTTTGTAGGGTCATTTGCTTGTAAACATTATTATGTTATTTCCTCCTAGGTTTTCTAACATTTTTGTAAATTTAAAACAAACAAAAAAAAACCCCAAAACCTGGCACCAAAACCAGTTTCACCCAGCATAAAACTAGCATTCAATATAAAGAGATGAACCAACTAGCTCATTGGCTAGCATTGTTATTTGCATGGCAAATGGCTATGCGAACAATGAAAATATAGCATTCCATCACCCTCTTCAAGGAAATCTGTCCATGCCTGGCCGCGCAAATAGACTTATGGCTGGTCTAGTCCTCAGTCCATCTCCACAAATCAGCCTGATTTGACTAGGAGATGCTTGGGAGATGACTTGAAATCATCAGGCTAATTCTGTCTTCAGCGCAGACATAGGCTCTCAAGCCTAGAAAGCCCTCCGGGCTGCAGCAATGGTCGGGTCTTTATCAACCAGGAGTCAACCACAGCTTGCGTACACAACAAGCACTGGCACTAATGACAAAAGTTACGGTTTTCTAATAATACCATCTAGATGGCATATTTCAGACTGTATTTAATAATATTTATGTTCCCTAAAATCTTTTTTGGTATATATAGTTAATATCTTTAAGCCCCAGAAAGAGGAAAGGACATTATATAAATCACCTGGTTTATTTTAGCTGTAAAGTTTTTAATTAGTGAAATATTTCTCTGAGAAAATGTTGAGAAAACACATAGCCTACATAATTTTTGAAGTTATCTGTATTTATATAATTTACTCTAGCATACTTTGCTCTAGTAAACTAAAAACATGCTCATAAAGATGTCAGAAACTAAAACAAATTTAAATAAGTATTGTTTGATTTTTTAAATATGTTTAGAATTATCTAGGAACATATTATTGGCTGCATTTTGAATATATATACATATATATGTTTGGAGAAAAATCTGAAATTTTGATTCTAATTCAGACACTCTTTTAGCACCTTTGTGAAAACTGTTTTTATCTCATTGACACATATGGATAATTGAGCATGTGTTTAAATAACCAAACTCCAAACTACATTTGGAAAATGATAACAAATAAAATTTTTTAAAGAAAATAGATAAATTATGTTTTAACAGAAGGATTTTATTTGAAAATACCGTAATGAGTAGATGAAGTGCATTTGTAAATTTGAATGGCATGCAGCTCTAATCAAACTGCATATGGGACCATTTTATAATTTTTAAATGCAATTAAATGAAAAGCAGTGGACCATGTGCTTTTTATCTTTTATGATAAAATGTAGCAGTGCCCCTTCAACACTGGAAAAAGTTAAATCACACCCCACAAAAGCCTTCTGCTGATGGTTTTTTGTTTAACCTAGTGAAAACACTCCAAATGTTATGTCTTCTTCTGAAAGATGAATATTCAGCATACTGTGTGTGACCGGAAGAGCTGGAAGGAGTAGAGTATGTCTAAAGTGATATTCTGTTTTGTGTGCCTCAGGGCCTCCCCAGGGTATCAGCAAATCCCCAGCCCTAGTAGTTATATGAACCCTCAACAATACTTTTCCAATAAAACCTGATTAAAACAAACATGCAGAGCCATTTTGAAGGAAGCTAAATGCAGCCAAATTAGAAGAAATATTCTCAAAAGACAACCTAGAGTCTGATGAAGAGATAAAGGGGAGAGAGTTGGCCCCATCTGGTTGGCTTTGATAATAGCATAGGTGTTTACATGCTGAGCACAGACACACGTGGGGCTTTTAACCACTTGTCTTTATACATTTTCCTGCTCTCCTTCCTTTACTGCCTCTCTGAGACAGGAATGGTTTACATCTCTTGATCCCTAAAGTGGCTGTAACTCAAAGAGAAGACTGAGTCCACCTTTCTGGTTTATTATACCCTGGGGATGCCTCTATGTACTTTCTCTTAAGCAAAAATGTCTTTATCCTCCTCTTCTTGAGTTGTATCTGGGTTTTTATATACATGTCTAAAATATCTAATGTTATTGTTTTGCCACAACTTTTTTTCAAAAATCATGTGAAATTTTTTATTGTTTTTTGTTTTTTCTCCCGTAGGACTTTTTCAACGAGCAATAGCTCAAAGTGGAACAGCCCTTTCCAGCTGGGCTGTTAGTTTCCAACCTGCAAAATATGCCAGAATGTTGGCCACAAAAGTTGGTTGCAATGTTTCAGATACAGTGGAATTAGTGGAATGCCTACAGAAGAAGCCTTACAAAGAACTTGTTGATCAAGATATTCAACCAGCACGATACCACATAGCCTTTGGACCTGTGATTGATGGTGATGTAATACCAGATGACCCGCAGATATTAATGGAACAAGGAGAGTTTCTCAACTATGATATAATGTTAGGAGTTAACCAAGGAGAGGGATTAAAATTTGTTGAAAATATAGTAGATAGTGATGATGGTATATCAGCTAGTGATTTTGACTTTGCTGTTTCCAATTTTGTTGATAATTTATATGGGTATCCAGAAGGCAAAGATGTTTTGAGAGAAACCATTAAATTCATGTACACTGACTGGGCTGACCGTCATAACCCTGAAACCAGAAGAAAGACATTGTTGGCCTTGTTTACGGACCATCAATGGGTGGCACCAGCTGTAGCTACAGCAGATCTTCACTCAAACTTTGGTTCACCTACATATTTCTATGCCTTTTACCATCATTGCCAAACAGATCAGGTTCCAGCTTGGGCTGATGCAGCTCATGGAGATGAGGTTCCCTATGTGCTAGGAATCCCCATGATTGGACCTACAGAGTTATTTCCTTGCAATTTCTCCAAAAATGATGTGATGCTGAGTGCAGTTGTAATGACATACTGGACAAACTTTGCTAAAACTGGGTATGTACCTAAGGAATAAAGTTTTCTATAATTTAATAAAAATATATCCTTAAGCACTTAAAAATAATACACATGTGCCCAAATCATTTAACAGATTAATACCAGCAGTATGTTAAGTTCCTTTTTATTCAAAATTCTATGCTGAGGTGTTTCAAAAATTATTGCTTTATTAGTTCTTACTTTTTAGTTTATTAGGAAGGCTTATAATTTTATTGGATTAGTTGATAATTAAATTTATTTTGTTGTTTTAATTGCATAAGTCATTATTATTGTTGTTCCATAATGACAAATATTATTTTATAGTACTTTATAGTTTACAGTACTCTATGCCCTTTGATACTCCCAACTAACTTGTTATTGTGGGCAGGTCAAATACTGTTAATCTCATTTTACAGAGAAGGGACATGAGGCTAGCAGAGTTTCATATAGATATTCATATGTCTAGTGTATAACATATGAATATACTAGGACCCAAATCTGCACCTGCCAAATCCAAATCCTGTCTTTTCCACTAACCCACACTGTCTCTGCTAGTTTGCTCATAAGGCAATGCATAGGTATATACATTTTTAAATCTTCATGTAGAATGTGAGGCTTACATTTACATTATTATCCATTTAATAATCTTCCTGCAATGGGAATTATATTTCTAAATTAACCCAAGTTGTCATTAAAACACAATCTAAAGCACTGCTGAATTACCTCTTCATTTATATGTTAACTTAGTACTATTTCTATTAAGAAAAGGAATAAAGTAAATTTGTTCTCATAATTGCTTTTTTCTTCCTAGTGACCCAAATCAACCAGTCCCTCAAGACACAAAATTCATTCATACCAAACCCAACCGTTTTGAAGAAGTAGCATGGACCAGATATTCCCAGAAAGATCAACTTTATCTCCATATTGGATTAAAACCAAGAGTTAAAGAACATTATAGAGCCAATAAGGTGAACCTCTGGTTGGAGCTGGTACCTCATCTGCATAATCTCAATGACATTTCTCAGTATACCTCTACAACAACTAAAGTGCCATCAACTGACATCACTTTCAGACCTACGAGAAAAAATTCTGTACCTGTCACATCAGCCTTTCCCACTGCCAAGCAGGATGATCCCAAACAACAACCGAGTCCATTTTCCGTGGACCAAAGGGACTACTCAACAGAGCTGAGCGTCACCATAGCAGTTGGTGCATCATTGCTATTTCTGAACATCTTGGCATTTGCAGCTCTTTACTACAAGAAGGATAAAAGGAAACATGATGTTCATAGGAGATGCAGCCCTCAACGTACTACTACCAACGATCTGACCCATGCACAAGAAGAGGAGATCATGTCCCTCCAAATGAAGCACACTGATCTGGATCATGAATGTGAGTCCATCCATCCACATGAGGTGGTTCTCCGGACCGCCTGCCCCCCAGATTACACACTAGCTATGAGGAGGTCACCAGATGATGTTCCCTTAATGACACCCAACACCATAACAATGATTCCCAACACTATACCAGGGATTCAACCCTTACACACATTCAATACATTTACTGGAGGACAGAACAATACACTGCCCCATCCCCATCCCCACCCCCATTCACATTCAACAACCAGGGTATAGCCAGATAAGAGAAACAAACTCTATTTTTTTGATGGATTGCAGTATAAGATTACTGAAGATTCCTTGGCTTTCAACCTACAAGACTCTTACTATTTAAATAAAGAGGAATATTATGTGAATATACATATCAAGAACTTTGGGGGTTTTGAAAAAATGAATTGTATATATATATACACAAATCAACTTTAAAATGAATTTCAATTGCTTGAAGCAATTGTTCTGAATGATACTTTTTCATTCACATTCAAGAATTAATTTTTTGAAGATTTATGTTACATGATGGAATTAGGCATGTGGAACACCATACAGGAAAGAACTATGTCTGAAACATAAAAAACAAAAATAAAAAAACAACCATGAATATGCACAAGGGACACACCAATGGAATGTCAGATAATTTTCACCAGTTTTTATTTGGAGCAGTTTATTGTGTGTAGACCATATTTACATGTTTGGATAAGTACACAAAGCACCAATGCTGTTAATGGCCTTTGCAAAGGCTCATGCTGAAATTTGCCAGTAAAACAAAGAAGTTTAAAGACTGGCAGGTACAACATTGTCACTTAAGTGCTGTCAGTATAAAGTTGTGGGGATAAAGGAAACTGGATATTTTTAGCACGATGTGCATGATAATTTATATGCTTGGTGGCTGTGCTGCTGATTAAGCCGTAATTAAAATTCTTCTCATCCCATTGGAGTTTTTAATAGAAGCTTCCTCCATCAATTGGCAGAACCTAAAGAAGATTTTAAGGGGCAAAAGTAATTACAATTAAATAATTCACAGTAGTTTCAATAATAGAAGGAATTAGTTATAAAGGTATTTGAAGAAACTATAGGTATAGTGGTGAATAGTTGCTGATATGAATCCCAGAACAATTTCCTGTGTTTTTAATGTTCTTTTCATTCCCATCTAAATAATTTATAAAAATATAACCCTAACTGGACATGTGTTACAGGATCTATAATTTGCTGTGGTTTTTGTTACTCTGTATTTTGTTCCTTTTGGTAAGATGAAGTGTGTCCAAAGAGTTATTTGCAACAGTCTTTTACTATATGAGGATGCCCCAAATTACCACTCTGGTTACAGTTCTCAGTTAATTGATTTACTCATGTTGCATGACAAAATGTTTACTAATAATAATTCAGTATAAAGTTATGTCCCTCCTCACATTACTCATCTTTCTCACTGAGGTTCATTCACTGGAGTTTACTCACACAATCTCAGTAGAGTACAACGTAGATACAGAACCTAGAAGGAGAGTCAACACCCGGAGGATTTTAGTCTTACACAAATGTGTGATTTTAAATGAATATTCTAAGACCACAGGAAACTCTTCATTCCCTGTTGTTTACCAGTAACAGTATATCACAGACCTTTCCAAATGTTTGTATATGTAATCAGATGTACATTTGTATTAAAAAAAATTGAGATGGACTTAAAGAGCACATCCTGATAAATACTTTCTCTCTTATCTGTACTATATTTCTATTAGACTAAAGTTATGTGATTTTTTTTTACATTTTTTCAGATGACTAGCAATTTTGATAGTTTGTAAGATAATGCAAAGAACTTTCTCTGACAAACTAACTGCAGTAACAGAAACCTTTCTTTTCAGTTACTCTTTTTCAAGAATGAAAGCTTATTATACAAAAAAAAAAATTGTATACTACTTGATGGAAACAACTTTGTACATCTTGGCCATGTCACTGGTCATTGCGTGAAATAAAGATAATCTGGAAAATGACTATTAGTCCAATGATAAGAGACATGATCTTTGCTCATTAAAGAGCTAAAATGTTTATTGCTGTTTTGTCTTTTTTTAAAAAAAAACAAAAACAAAAACAAAAGAAACTTGACTGTCTCAGAGTCATTTTTCTAGGCCAATTGAATTTTGAAGACGTATAGGTAACTTCTTCAGAAAACACATTATGTATTTATAGGCAACTCTCAGCTAAGATGAAACTGATGAAAATTTAACATTATAAATTTATAAGCCCAGGAACTCATGAAAAATATCAGCTTTGTATTTTTAAATGTCTCTTATGTGAAAATGTTGGAGAAATAAAAATGTATCAATTGTTTTTGGTTAGAAACACAGGTTCCAATTCTGATCATTGAGGAAAAGGTCTATTGGAAATAAATGTGTGATATTTCATGGAATGAGAAAACCTAGGTTCATAATATAAGGCTGATTGAACGATCATAAAGTAATGAATAGAAAGTTATTCTTCTAAGGGAATTTTAAAGTGCTGAGCAAGACATTAAGCTGACACTAAGAGATACAATCTTCTATTTCAAGGAATTTCTTTGCTTATAATTCCCAGTCCTAATTATTAACTGTCAGTGAAATGTAGATAATGTTCCATAACTTCAAATAAAAATCTCTGTCAGTAGCAAAAGTTCTTCGGCACTCAGAGAGGCCTCCGTGCAGTGTTTGCCTTATGTGGTGATGCTTTTAGGCTGGGAACTGACAATGGAAACCAATATAAACATTTGTTTAACATCTGAAATATTGTTTGAACAGAAAACTGTCTTTTACTATATTAATTGAACAAGAGATAAAAACAAAAACAGAAATAACAAAATAAGGTATGAATGGAGTCTTTCATATGCATTATTTTACTTGGCAAAACCAAACTTTCTATTTTAATGTTGGCCATACTTATATCTACCTACCTATTGTTTCTCTAAATTTATCTGTCAGCCACTCTAATTATTTATATCATAACTGATACTTATTTTGTATTAATTTAGGAAAATTATAAGGGAAACAAAAACAGACTTATTATTTTTTCTAAATTAATGTTGTACCAACTCTGTGGAAGATAGTTTTCATTGCTGTTCCCAAGCTGTGATAAAGTAATTGTAAATGAGTGTTAGCTCCTAGTTGTATAATTACAGCAGCTAGTTTTCTGAATGTCAAATTATATTCCAAAATACACAGAACATTAAGAACTGTTTTTAAAGCTGAAACATAACTTTTAAATGCAAGAAATATTTTAATATTGTTACTAAATTTAAACCAATAGGTATAAAATGTGTTTATTTAGATGATAATTTTCCTTAGAAAAAATGCAAGTCACACATTTAAAAGAATATATTTGGCATTACTTATTAATTTAGACATTCCTGCTTCAGAATAAACTGCAAAGTCAAGGCTGCTTAAAATTTGTGAAAACATTATCAAAAGATCAATGTTGTTTTAGAGTATGAGGATGAAAATAAAAGTGACAGATTTCATAGTTTTAAATTTCTATTGAATATATTGACTGTAAACAAAATATAGTTGAGTACTACAGATGTATCATGAGGTTCATCATTAACTGCATGGAAATTAGAAAGTCATTTACTAAAGCATTAGATATATCTCATTTTAATTTGGAGACATTATGCTAGCAGCTCAAAGCAGAAAATCTGAGTAAAGTATGGAGTAGTTCATTCATTTCACATTTAAAAGTTGACTCTAATGATGATTTCATTTAGATTTTTTGATTGGTACAACATGAAAATAGCAAAAACTTAGAAAAAAACATTAACTATATGTAATAGTAAACTGGAAACCAGAATGGCATTAATTTTCTTACCAAAAAGAAAAAAAATACCCAAACTCAATTGCTGTATCTGTAACATGTCCTTCCTTCTCAGTTATTTCACCTGTTGGCATTCTCATACTGACACACATAGTAATATCTTAAAAGGATACAAAGAATGTGATAAATGTGTTCCAGCTTTAAAGACACTATTACATAGAAATTACTGGGATTCTTTTCTTTGGCAAGTTTCACAGAAATATTTCACACAGCATATGATGAATGGAATTTTCAGGAAGCTGTCATATATCACAGCCATTCTTTGACGTTTGTTTTCTTCTGTTTTATTGGTTCAGAGTACTGGTCTTTTCCTTCATTTCTAGTAATTAGTTGTTATTGACTATAACTTTTTAATGTGAGTGAAAATTAGATAATTTGGTTAGACTTGTGAAAACATGCACCCAAATAAATTCAACTAATGGGCACTTCCCTGCTGAGATTTTGTTATCATTCATTTAATTATCTTGTCAAGCTTTACTGTTAACAACAGTTCTTTTGACTTTTTAGTCAACAAACTAAAGGAATTTATCCAACAGCCTTATACATTTCCTGCACTTGATATAACATACACTTCAAATTTCCAACAGAAGTTTCTAAAGATATTTCCTACTGATGTGAAAACATTTGGTAGCCTACTTGATGTTTTTACATAAGCATGCTGATTTGATTTGATTTGATTTGATTTGATTTTAGCATTTTCGTGTATTTGTTTTTCAGGCCAGAAATCAATTCCAGTTGATGAGGGTTGTGGATTATACAGACTGGAATAACCATGTGCAGGGCTTAAGTGCCTTTCTGCCTGAGATTTGATTTATAAACTTTATTGCCTTGTTTTTTTAACTTGCAGAGCCTGATAATTCAATTTAAAAGTTACAACACGATGACCATGTTATAAATCTCTAATAAGAAAATTTTATTAGGAAGGTTTTTTTCTTGCATTTAATTTTATTTTTGTATGATATCAAATGGGTCCTAATGACTCCTGGGAAAGTGTGAAGTGAATTTTTAGAAAGTGACAGTTATCTCAGCATCTGATTTAGTGGTTTTTAAGTGTGGAAACCTAAATCTCTAATAAACTTTAATTTTTTCCCAAATTAGGTAAGTTTAATTTAAAAGAAGTCTGAAGTGGCTAGGGACAAACATAAATTAGATAGATACATAATTTTTTTCTAGTCAGTCATTATATATACCATATGGTGTATGTGTGTATATATATATGTGTGTGTGTGTGTGTGTGTGTGTGTGTGTGTGTATAAGATATATACACATCATACCATAAGATATATAGAGAGATACCTCTATAGATATCTATATATATCTATATCTGAGATATATAGAGATATATATAGATATAGATATATATCTTAAATACTAAATAGTTTATAGGATACTTATTATGGCCCTTTCAG